GAAGAAAAAGAAAGCATTAAGTAAATTAAAAAATAGAAAATCACCAGGAGAGGACAGAATATCGAACGAACTCCTAAAGTACGGACGACCACATTTGACCAGACAACTTTAAATGTAATATAAAAAATAATAGAACAAAACAGATTTCCTCAAGAATGGAGATCAAGCATCCAAAAGAGAGACCCTCTTTAAAAAGAGAGACCAATCGGAACCGGAAAATTACAGAGAAATTAATTTATTAAACACAACACTAAAATAAACAACCAAAGTGATAACAAATAAACTGAATGAAACAGACGACGCAATACTACTCTCTCAAAGTGAAAATGATTTACAACGAATGCTGCACCAATTTAATATAACTGCCAGAAAATTTACCATGCCAAATTCAAAAAAGGTCAAATGCATCGTTATAACAACAAATTTACTAAGACGTAAATTGAAGCTGGAAGGTTAGATAATAGAACAGGTGATGAAGTTTAAATATCTAGGCATGACATTATCTAGTTACGGAAAGCTCGAAACTGGAAAGTGGAAGAAACAGAGCCGCAGGTTGCCTGAATGAAACAATATGGAGAAATAAAATATGAGGAAAAATGAAAGACAGAATTTACAAAGCAGTCATATGGCCAATAATGACATATGCTGCAGAGACAGGACCTGACACAAAGAAGCAAAAAGGATATTAGAAACAGCAGATATGAAAACACTTGCAAAATTGATGGTAAAAAACTATGGAATAAAGCTAGAAATACGATTTACATGCAAGAAGGAGAACATTAAGAACTGGGTAAAAAATAGAAGAGTAAAATAAAACGATCATATAAGCCGAATGACTTATAGAGTAGTAGAGACGGTAAGAGATGGTTCCCCAATAGGAAAACGTTAGCAAATCAGCTAATAAAATATTTGCGACTATTTTCTCGGGGGACGGACATGTATTATTGAATAGTGACATTGCGAAACCGCAAAAAAAAACAATCTCCCTCTGTCCGGAGTAGGGAAAAGGATTAGTTTATAGAAAGGTTCTGTAAGCTAACGAAGTACCTTCAAGGATGTCAGCGCACTCACCTGGGAGTTCGTTAATGCAAGCCTGCATTAGAATAAACGGAATGTAAAGTTTTTTGTGTGTTGATTTTCGGATAAAAACAGGAACTTGTTAGAATTTCTTAGGTGTTTGAATAACCGAATGAATAATTGTGGCAACTATTTGAGATGTTTTGAATTTCACGGGATGAGAATCTCCAGGGTTTGTGTTTACATTACACAGAATTCAGCGTTTGGCAGTAAGTAGTTTATGTTTCTGATAGTCTCTCAGAAGGCAATTTAAGTTAGACTTATACTCTATAACGGAATGAATAAAGGTTTTATAGGTGTGAACGAGAGTTTTGTCATGTGTTCGTCCAATTCTCCCTGTAAGTGGTTTGATGAGATGGCTCGATTTCTGACCCTATCTAAAATTGCCTTTAGATCAGGTTCCTAGTTGAGTATCCTAAAAAAAAGAATACCCAAATAGGAAGCTTTCGGGTGGATATCAAGCCTTTGTCCCATCAAATTCAGGGAGTACTGATCGTCATCGCCGGCGACGACCCTTACAGATGTTTTTGCTGTAACACAGTGGTTTGCGTTTTTTTAGCGTTAAGTGTAACTCTCCACTTTATTGCACCATTCTTCGTCGCCATTTAGTAGAGTTTGTGCTCTTCTAAAAGTTCGCTCGGGATAATATCCTCTCGCTGTTTTGAGGGGATTGCAGTATCATCTGCGTAGAGAAACAACTGAGTACTTGGGATGTTAAGATTAGAAATGGTGCTGTTGTATATTGCAATTGGAGAAAATGAAAGTTAAAATTAAGCATTGGAGTATTATTGTTTTTTTTTTATTTTTGTGTCGTTTAAATTATAAAACTTAATATCACGAATTAAGCTTTATCATCTACCCCCTCTGTTTATGGTGTTCTTAATTTTTAACTTTAGTATATTATAGCACAAACTTCTATCTTTACAAAGTTTGTGAAGTTAAAAAAATGGATTATAATATTGAAGAAAACTGCTACTACTAGTTTGGTGCTACTAGTAGTTAAACTACAATAACAATCAACTATTATAAACAACAAGAAAAAGCTGTATCGGTTTAGTTATTTTAAATTATGTTTAGAAAAAATATATTGAACAGAAAATGATTATTTGTATTATAAAAATACGTAATTTTATACCATTACGCTAACTAGCACACAAGGTGAGTTACAACAAATGATAAGTCAACTAAAAACCACAATACTAAAGAATTTGGTGTGCAAATAGACAGAAATATAAGAAAGTCGTGATAGTTAAGTTATAGTATACTAAGTGACATAGAAATCCGAACACCCATTATTATTATTAATATATTATGTTTTGAAAATATTTTGTACAATTTTACAGGGTAGCATAAATAAATGATCAAAATTTCAATACCATTGAAACAATTTACAGGGGTAATCAATTAGTATGTTTTAAAGCACCTCGGTGGCAACAATCATCAATCTTGGATGAGCCTGGGCTCGCTTCTAATTTGGTTGTCAATATTCTCCTAAGGTATCTCGTTTCATGCCGTAATTAACTCTTCCCGAAGTGCTCTTATCTTCTCTGGGGAGGATAAATCCCCAAGCGATCTCGGGGGCTAGGGCAAATATTGAGTAGAGCCTGTTCAAAGAATTTCATTGCAACTCTCTCGTTATGTAACCTTGCGTTATCCTCCTGAAAAACTGGATATTAAAGCATCGGAAGGTAGGATATAGAGGTAAGTGATAACATACTATATAATTACCAAAACACTACGATACACGTGCCATTCGATAAGAAGTTGTGGATTTCGTTTTTTTTATGTCTTCTGACCCTGGCTTGATCATCGTGCATTCCTAAACAGAACCGAAAATCCACACTAAAGACAACCTCATTCCAATTGATCTTCCATGTTCTGCAAATCGTTGATTTGCAATAAACATGGTAGTGGAGAAGCTATCTCTTAGAACCATCAACCTAGGCGAAGACCTTGTCGCTCTGTTGTTCTCCGGCGCCGCCCTGTGCCCTTGGATATTTGTGATCGCTTCTTGACGCCACACTCGATAATATCTTAACGCCATGTCGAAAAATATGTAAATTCTACTCTCTCTCTCTCTCTCTTCGTTACTAAACTTAAAAATTATAATTTTTAGTTGTTAACAAATTTAGAATAAAAATAAATAAAAAACAAAAACCTGATATCACTAAAATTCTAATCATTTATTGTTTTTTTCAAGATAAGCCTGTATAGTAAACTTTTTTGATTTAAATAATTTACCATGGATGATGTGTGTGTGTGTGTGTGTGTTCGGAAAAATTTCCGCGATTAGTACAATGAAACCTAGAGCTAAGATTAATATTATTACAAAAATTAATATCAAACTCACCAGTCTTCCGGGTTGAACCGCGTCGATGTTTATTTTGCCGAGCTTTCGGCATCCTCTCTGATGCCTTCCTCAGGGCTTCCGAGGTCTCAGTCGACCGAGCCCCCAGACACTACTACACTGTTCACTGATCACTGCGCTGTCACTACAGTAGTAGTACAATAGTACTACAGTCTAGTTTAGAATATACTTCCCTGAACCTGACCCTGACGATGGTTGGATTCGAAATTCTTTTAGCTGTCAAGCAATTGAATAAATTCAAGGCCTCAAGGAAGAGGAACAAGATAAGCTTGTGGATTTGTCGAGTTGTGGTACGATGAAAAACATTTTTAATGAAGGGATAATAGCAGATTTCTGGGCAACAGCACGCAAGGATTACAAAGAACTTGGAGACAAGGCGATGAAAAAAATCCTTCCGTTTGCAGCAACCTATCGGTGTGAGCAAGCATTTTCTTCCATGTGCTTCATGAAAAGAAATATAGGAATCGGTTTGACATGCGGTCGGATTTCAGAATGAAAGTTTCAATTTTGGAACCTAACATTACAGAAATAATTAATTCTAAGGTTAAATTCAACTTATCTCATTAATTGAGGAGTGAAAATTAAAAGTAATAATGTACTTGTATAGGTACGCTGTATTTTCACAAATAAATTCTAAATAGCATTAGTTTGATTTATGTTTTCACATATTTTGGCTCTTTTTAGGTAACTTTAGGTTTGTTTAGGTCTTTAAGAAATTGTGGAGGTCCTCGTCATTGTAGTACATTGATGAAGGGGTCCTTGGAAAAATTTTGTTGGGAACTCCTGTTCTACTGTATTTGTAGCTTTTTATGATCAACAGGAGCAGATCTCTATATAATATTACATTTGAAAATGTAGACTATCTCATCTGTATTTTTTGTTTCATTTTAAGACGCGTTAGTGGACCCCCATCCATTTAGCCTGAGATTTCATGACATCAAAAGATAAATAAATTTATATTTATAGTAATATTTGTAAATTGACAACCCGAAAACGTAACCTAGACGTTTTCTATTAGTTACTGCATGAATTAGTAACCAAAATGAAGTGCTCTCACTGTTAATTATTTTTCAAAACTTGTTTTGTTGGACCCTCATCCTTTTAGCCCTGAGTTCTTCTCTTGATATATTTTGTGCAACAATATTCAGTAAAGACAAAAAAGGAATAAATGATTTAACTCCTGTACACCAAATCAAAGAATAAAAATAATCATCCACACTATACGAATTGCACCTCTTTAATTTGTCTCATATTACTCAATTAAATATCTCCTTGCGATATGCTTCTAAGTGTTATAAAACACAAGATTTTAGTATTATAACGGTAAATTAAAAACTACATGTGCCTTATAAAAACAATCCGTTTTTTCTTGTATCATTGCAAGAGTTAAGGCCACCCCAGAGGAACGAAAAATGCGAAAAAAGACAATGAGTGGACTTGCGGTGTGTACGTTCGACCAAAAAATATTTTGACCTTTAAAAAAGGGGGGACTAATAAAACGCGATCTCTACGTAGATGTATATATTTGTATTACACTGGCTTCAATTAGTCTATATATTGTTTTAAATAATACCAAGGTACCTGTTTAGAATTAAAAATGTTAATATATTACTTAGTTTGTATCGCTTTTTTCGCGAGCGTGTGCAGTTACCCGAAACTAGAAAAAAATGAGGAAGAAGGTAGGAATATTATTCTTTTTAGAATTTACCAACAGCTAAATAAAAATTATTGCGATCTTCTTTAAGGATTTTTACATTATATTAAGGTCTTTTCGCTTTAATTAGACTCTTCTATATTTATTCGTGCTATTCCTTAGAAAAAATTTGGAGTAAGTTTTTTCTTTATCTTGCTAGTTTCGAAACTTTAAAAAATTTACTTTATATATCTTTCCTCTAGATTTTTCTTAAACATTATTTTCCTTTCTTCTTGTTTTTTAATTTTTATCCTTTCGTCTACTACACTATACATCTTTATTTGCGGTATACAATACTTTTTATTACACATGATCATATCATATTTTAAAATACTTCTTTTCCATTCGTCTATATCTTTACATTTTCTTTTTTATATCTTTCCATTTTTATATCTTTTTTTCATTCCTTAATACTTTTTTTCTTTTTCTGATATTGTCCATTTATACTTGTTATTTTCTTCATGTTCCATGTACTCATCTTTGCCTCATCCTCTTCATTTTCCTGTTATTGCAAGTTTAATAATTTCTTTGATACTCAGATTATATTTCTTTCTTATTGGTCTTCTTCTTATTTATGTAGCCTTTACATTTGAGAACTCTTTAATTATTACTATTTTCACTTGGTGAAATGTGAAAATTTTCAATGGGTGAACATTCATAGAACTTTTTTAAATTATGTAACTATAAAAGGCGCTTACTTTGATGTTCCTTTTTATGCTCTTCTTTTCTTATATATTTATTAATGACCTCAACATTTATTAATCAGTCCACTCCAACATATTTTTCGGTAGGTCCTGTCAATGCTTTTGGTCGCAAATTTTATTCTTTTCAGCCCAGGTCTCTGTTTCATAGACCAGCAGAGAAAACATATAAGAACCTTATATTCTCACTTTTAATTTTAAACTATGGTAACTACTGCATAGCACTTTCCTCCTATTATTAAATATTTTCTAAATTGTCTTATTCTTATCCTTATTTCTTTTGGATAACCATCATTTTCATTAAAAATTAACTAGAGGTATCTATAGTTTCTAATACCTACATTATAATAGTTTTGTTATTTGCATGATTATCTGTAAGTAGTTGTACATGGTTACGATGAACTTTTTCAAAGGCCTAATTGCACACGATAAACCAAGCATACTCAATGAGTGGTTCATTGACATTAATACATTTTTGAATTAGTACATTAAATCTAAACAATATCCATAAGCACAATCATATATGTATAATTTTCAAGAATTTGTGTGTGTTTACATTCAGACATTATTTGCATTATATATTTTTAGTAATGTAAAAAAAATTGATTTTAACCATTCTTTAGGAATATTTTCCGTTATTATATATGATTTTATATGTCTCATAAAACATATATTTACACTTTTCTATACAGTCATAATTACAAAGCGGATTATATGCAAATTGCATATACGTGCATATTTTGCATTTTTTGTTAGTTTTTGAAAAAAGTGCATATTTTGAGAACATTTAATTTACCTGCATATTATGATCATCTTTACTTCTTCTTCAGATGCAAATCCACTAATGGATGTTAGCGATCACATTTTCCATTCTCTATTTCTTGCAATATGTATCAGAAATTGTATGTCGTTAATCGGTGTCCATTACCTTAATGTTTCGGAGCCAGGACATTTTCTTGCGTCCCATTCCTCTCTTGCCTTCAATTTTACCCTCGATTATAAGTTGGAGAAACTGGTATTTTTCATTTCGCAAGATGTGACCTAGATACGCCGTTTTTCTTTTCTTGATGGTTTTGAAAAGTTGGCGTTCTTGGTTTATTCTTTTAAGGACATCTATATTTGTGATTTTCGCTGTCCATGGTATTTTTAGGATACGGCGATAGAGCCACATTTCAAAAGCTTCTAATGCGTTTATATCCCACGTTTTGAGTGTCCAGCCCTCTACGCCATATAGCAGCACTGACCACACGTAGCACTTAGTAAACCTTAGTCTCATTTGAAGATCAAACTCTGAACAAGTCAGTACCTTCTTGAGTTTTACGAAAGCTTGTCGAGCTTGCTCAATGCGACATTTTACTTCCCTGTCCCATGCCCAGTCTTCAAAAATCCACGATCCCAGGTATTTAAATTTACTTACTCTAATGGACTTAGTATTCAGTGTTATGGTGAGTTTTCAAGTGCATCCAAGTTTCTGGAGATGAAGTATCATTTTTACACCCAAAAATTATTTCTAACGGTTCCCTCGATAAGGTCGAAGAATTTAAGAAATTTGCAATTTGATTTTTTTGTAATAATATATTTTTTAAAACGATCTACTGTGGTCATTAGACAACAATAGAATATTTTTAATATGCAATGTTTACTTACGGAGTTGTCATTTTTTCACAAATCAACTAAAATTTAGCTTAAACTATTAAAACACAATGTGATTACATAATAAGTTATTTTCGATCTTGTTCTTAATAGTACTTAGTGATACATAAAAAAAGCATTGCTATTACATGTATTTATTTGCATTTCTACACATTCTCTGTAAGGGTTTATTTAAGTATAAGTTCGATTATGAAATTCTAAATAAAACAAGGCATGGTATCTGGTGTCTCTACAGGGTGTACAGAAGTAAACCTTTTCCAAAAGAGCACTGGCATCACTGCATCCTTGTATTAATTTATATATAAGTACTACATCTGGCAAAATTCGCCTTTCTTCAAGATTATGCAATTTAGGTAAAGATTGCAAAATAATGTATTCAATTTCATTTACAGGTATTCTCAATTTAAAAGCAATAAATCTTGAGAACTTTTTCTGCGCTGTTTCTAATAGATCTTTGTAGCATTTTTAATGAGGAGACCAAATATTCCTACTATATTCAAAAACCAATCTAATAAGTGAACAGTAAATATTTTTGACACAATATATATAAATTCAGAGAGGCTACGTTTCACGAATTTCGAAGACCTCCAACTTATTAATGGAAGGTACTCTTAATGTCCAAGTTTCCATGCCGTATAACAATATGGATCATACATAACATTTTACTATCCTGTAGCGAAGATTGAAGGAAAGATTGCAGTTACATAGTAGCGGTTTGATAAAAGTTTGTCTTGCTTGTTCGGTACGGCATTTTATTTCTTGTTCCCATTCCCAAGCATCCCATTGGTCATTTATTTTCATTACCAAGTATTCAAATGTTTTCACTTGATGGATTGGAGCATTATCTACTTGCAGTTGTATTCTTAAAAGTGCGCTTTTTCTTATTGCCATGCATCTGGTTTTTCCAGCATTTATCTTCAGGCCAAATATTTTTTCAACGGTGTTTATTTTATTAAACATCAACTGTATATCATGTTCGGTGTCTTATATTATCGTCGGCGTCATCGGCGTAACGAATGTTATTTATCGGGAACCCGTTTACCTTTATTCCACACTCAGAACCTTCCAGTGAGTCTGTAAAAATGTAAATGTTCTTGGTGGGAGTTACAAAATTTAATTAGTAACTCTATTCGCTCATTTTTGTTACAGAAACCGAAATCATCCACCGCATTACCACATCTACCCCTACCGACTTTGGCATTAAAATCGCCCATTATGACGTTGATATCGTTTTTCTTTGTGACCTTTAATGCTTCCTCTATGTCTTTATAGAAATCTAAAACTTTAGTTTCCGGTTTATCAGATGTGGGATGCAAACTTGAATTAGATTTATGTTATTAGGTTTACCGGCTAAATTTACTATGATAACTTTGTTTGAAACGAGTATATAATCCATAACAGATATCGGAATTATATTTCTATTTTATATATATAGCGCAATTGCGCTTGATAAGCTATAATAAGTGCCACAGGCCTGGACTTGCTATTGCAACTCCATGGCTTTGGTAATTATCTGTGGCGTCGCTACCGGAATAGCACACTGTAAAGTGTCTACCTGAATAGCACACTGTCTTTGTGAGAAAAACCTGAACCAGACCATCTCAAGTCACTTACACCCATTGCTTCCACTTCAAGGCGCCGTATTTCTTAAAACAGGTTATGTAAGTTTCCTGGGATGCACAAGCTATTGACGTTTTATATCGCTACTTTATGAATAAAATCTTGAAGTCGAACCCAGAAGATTTTTATCAGCCCCGGACCATCTAAGGTCTGCCCGGGACTGAGGGCCTTTGCTTCGATTTTGTCCGACATATAAGATAATTATTCCAGGGATATCCGTAGAGATCTTGAATGTAGTGGTTTGTCCTTACCTTCTACATCTTTATGCCGTTGGCCAAATTTTGGTTCATCCGCCTTCGGGGTCGATTCCTCAACCCCAGGACAAAAAGGTGCCCTACAACTTACCAACTCCTACGCCCGAAGCCGTTAGTCAGTAAGTGGGGGACGGCTTATACCGGCAATCACTCAGTGAATTTTGGCAACTCCCACTTAGTTTAGCCTACAGACCAATGCAGTTGCCCGGGGTGTGGCACGTGGAGCCATAAGTGAGAGTTAGGTGTCTTATGAGGACCACTTATCAAGAACCATCTCCCGTCTATGACGCTCGATGTGCCCGTTCTAATAAAAGGTACTACCTCTATAACACAACCGTACACCTCAGAAAGAAATACAGAAAACCATTTTTGTATTCTTATGTTATGATGTACCGCAAATGATAGCAGGTGTAGAAAATTTACCGTATTCAAATTCCATACAGTTTGGGAGAAAATAAGTTTATATGTCCGCAGAAAATTTTGAAAAATCAAGTTAAGACGTTTCGAAATTTAAAATTTCTGTGTTACAGTTAAGTTTAAATATTGTACAAAAGGAAAAAAATCCCCAAATTAATTCCTTGAACTTATGGTTTGAATAACTGATATGCATATAATCTTGATGTTGTATTTAATTGAAAAGGATGCTACGACGGTTTGGAGAATAACTGTTAATAACGATTACGACGTCACGTGTTTACCGGGTTAAAACATCTTAGTTAATAAGTTGTTATTTCCTGTGTTATTTCGTAGAATAAATT